GAGGGGGAGGAGGGGGAGGAGGGGGAGGGCGAGAACGAGGAGCAAGACTCCCAGAACGAGGGCAGCACTGAGGAGAAGTCGAGCCCGGCCAGCTCGCAGGAAGGCTCTCCTGGGGACCAGCCGTTCTCCCCCAAGCCCAGCACAGAGACTTCCAAAGGGGAGTTGATGTTTGATGACTCCTCAGACTCCTCGCCTGAGAAGCAGGAGCGGAACTTGAACTGGACCCCGGCTGAAGTGCCTCAGCCTACCGCTGCTAAGCGCAGGCTGCCCCAGGGCAAGGAGGCCGGGCTCATTAACTTGTGTGCCAATGTCCCCCCTGTCCCTGGGAACATCCTGCCTTCGGAAGTCCGGGGGAGCTTCATGCCTTCTGGACAGAACCTCCAGAGTTCTGAAAGAACAGAAATGATCACCGCGTGGAGCCCGGCCGTGCGGACGTTGAGGAATATCACTAATAATGCTGACATTCAGCAGATCAATCGGCCATCCAATGTAGCACATGTAAGTCACTCCAGCAAAGAGATGTTAATATTGGATTTAACAATTGGGTTTGGCGCTTTTTTTTTGTTTGTTTGTTTGTTTGTTTGGCTGGCTCAGGCTGCTGTAAGGGCGCTCTGGTGCGGCATGTGATGCTGGGGATGCAGCTCTTTCAGCACAGTTCACTTCATTGTTTTTGCTTGTTTAGATCAGATTACTGAGAAAGCGCTGTTGAGGTTCCTGCCCAGCCTCCTGTGTCGCACCAGCTACCCCTTAGAAGTGGGCCCCAGCATGGTCTTGGGGCTCCTGGGGTGCCTCCACTTTACATAGCTGTCCTGGAGGTGGGTGTGCCTGCAGCTGACCACAGCCTGGCTGCTCAGTGACAGAACAGGAGCAGACCAGGCTGTGTTTCCACAGCGTCTGCTTGAGCCCTGGTGCTGCTCAGGGAGGGGGCAGGGCAAGGGTGGCTCCACTAGGTCCTCCATGGCAGGACGTGGGCAGTGGATAGGAAGAGTTCCTGGTGGACAGGAAGGTCCTAGAACTCCTGAGCCAAGTGTGGTCACCCACCACCAGCCTGGAGACACTGCCCATGGAGCGGTTCTAGAGAGGACTCTTGGTGAGAGAAGCGTGTGGCCAAACATGCTTGCCGCAGCTCTCCTGGGAAGCAACGTGGCCTCTGCTGCGTGGTGGCCCACGTGGAGAGGACTGCTCACTGCCCGCTACTGCAGAACCGTGCCCGGAGCGGCCCTTGGTGGGTGAGAGGAAGTGTGAGGGTCACTGCGAGCTGTGAAGAGACTGCTCTTCTAAAACATTAGGGAGGGAGCCAGACGTGGTCTCCCTCGGCTGAGGAGCAGGGCGCAGCGCCCGGCAGGCTCCCGAGATCTGGGTGGTGAGGAGCACAGGTGTGTGACGGGCTATCTGTGGTCGTAGAAGTCAGGCCTGCGACACTGGTGGAGAGCCCACCCTGCACCCGGAGTTACTTGAGGTGCAGCCTTGTTGTAGAGCAGTTAGGCTTCCTTCCTGCCTTTCCTTCCGTTCCTCAGGCGAGCGTGTTTTCAGCAGAGGTGGATCAGGGCTCTGGCAAGCACAGCAAGTGCTGAGCAGGTGTCTTGCTGGCTCCCGGTCCTCTGGCTGTCCCCCCATGTCCCCGGCCCTCCCAGCTAGGGAAGGACCCAGGTGGCGGCTTCACGCCCGCAGGGCGCTTGTTCTGGAGCTCTTGCTGTTCCTGAACGGGCTGGGTTCGCCTCACTTTGGCTTCACAAGCAGGAGGCAGGCGGCTCAGCACCCATTGCCTTCCTTCAGGCCTGACCTTCTACCGCCCTCCCAGACTGTGACCTCCCGCTGTAGATGGCCACCCTGCCACTGTGCAGCTACTTCTCCTGTAGGCGCCCCACTGATGCTGCCCTGGGGTCCACTCCTGGGGGCTGTGGGGTTGTCCTCTGGGTCCCCCTGCTCCGAGCTAGGTGGTTCAGCGGGGCGGCTGGCCGTGTATTCCCACTTAATTTCCTCGGGCACTCCTGCAGATGGGAAACAAAGCACTCAGGATAAAAAGTAAGAGGAGCCCGCGCCCTGTGGCTCCCCATCCTCTCTGAGACAGCCAGGGAGGCGTGCAGGGCTGCGGCTGGCCAGGTGTGCATGCCCGGGCTGCTGCCTCCTGTAGGCTCTGTGTGGACTTGTGCTGCACCAGAGGTCGTGTGGCCAGTTGTCTCCTGAAGTCCTGAGAAGACACAGCACTTAGACGGGTTTCTCAGCTGTAAGAATTTGGCTGTAGCTTTGTTGTTTGAGCCCACTGAATGAAGTTCACAGTCACCGTGTTTGTTTTTGTTTGGTGCTGTGTAGAAAAGTACCTTGATGTGCAGTACTCAGTTTTCTGGGTGTCCCTGGTCACTGTCCCTTTCCTGTGGCCGTCAGCACAGAGCCCTCAGCTCTCCCCTCTTCTGTGAAGTGGAGTGAACTGGAAGGGAGACGGTCAGCTTGCTGTTGGTTTCAGTTTGGGATGGTTGTGTCCTGCTCAGGGGCCTGTAGTGTTTGAGGAAGTGTATCCAGCACCTGTGCTGGAGGTCTCTTGGGATACTTGCTGGGCCAGCAGACCTGTGGGCGGGCCCTGTTGGTCCTGTGCCATGTCACTGCAGCACAGAGGGTATACCACGGGGGCTGTGGCCTACTTGGGGTGGCTGCCCTTTGGGGTGCCGTGGTTTGGCATGAGCCCTTGCTCTCTGTAAGGTGAGTCCCTCCCGGGCACACAGCAGAAGATGGGGTGCCAGCGGAGGGAGGAGCCATGCCTGCACATCTACTTGTTTAGTTCATCAGCTCCTTACACACACAGTTTAAGTTTTGGTCTTCACAGAAGAGTGACGTACTTGCTGTGTTATGTTGGGGGTGTGAAGGAGACCTGCGAAAGCTGGAGTACGGTCTCTGGTGGCGGAAGCGAGCCATGCTCTTGCGCTTCTGCCGCAGGACCCGTGGGTAAGGACCAGCCTTGCTCTTATTTTCTAGATCCTGCAGTCCCTGTCGGCTCCCACAAAGAGCCTGGAGCCGCAGGTAGGCCATGGCCAGCAGGGGCATGGCAGTGCCAGTGCCAGCGCCATGCTGCTCAGCCAGCCAAGGGGTGCTCCTGACACACACCTGCCTCCACCGCACCGCCAGCCCCCACCGCAGCCCCCTTTGCAGCACCCTGTCCTCCACCTGCAGCCCCCGCAGATGCCTCAGCAGCACCAGCAGCAGGTCCTTCAGCACCCCTTCCCCCAGCAGCAGCTGCACCGCACACAGCAGCCCTTGCAGTCGTTCCACCAGCAGCATCTGCAGCAGCAGCTCCACCAACTGCAGCAGCAGCAGCTCCAGCACCAGCAGCTGGCACAGCTGCAGCACCAGCACATGCTCCAGCAGCAGCAGGTGCAGCGGCAGCAGGTACAGCAGCAGCAGGTGCAGCAGCAGCAGCAGGTGCAGCAGCAGCAGCTGCAGCGCCTCCACCTCCACCAGCAGCAGCAGCAGGTGCAGCTGCAGCATCCCTCTGTTCCACACCTGGGCCAGGCGCCCCCGCCCCTGCAACACCAGGCCCCACCCCTGCAGCCCCCACCTCAGCAGTCTCTGCCGCAGCTGCCGCTGTGTGGACACGACCCATCTGTGGAGAGTAAGTAGTGTACTTCTTTACATCTGGTGCCTACATAAGTGCTTCTAGGGGTGAGGTGAGTGGTGGGTTGCCAGCAGTTATCTTGGAGCAGGGAGCGTGGGTCTCATATATGACTGAGTAGCTACAGGAGGTCACTGATTCCTATTCTGGGATGCCCCCTACTGACAGAAGACATCTTGGTTGTCCCTAGTACTGAAGGTGTTCAGCACTGAGGCATAAATTCTATTGGCTTCATTTTGTTAATGGTTACTTTATACTGACGCTCAAACCTATGTGGCCCAGCTGTGTCCCACGTGTGCCCCTGTTGCTGGCAGCCTCCTGTGGTCGGAGTCAGTGTGGTGTAAGCTGGGCGCCCAGCTGCGCACAGTGGCTCTGCAAGTTCTGACCCCCCTCTCTCCCAGTTCCAGAAGAAGGTTTCCTGCTGGGGTGCGTGTTCGCGATTGCGGACTACCCGGAGCAGATGTCTGACAAGCAGCTGCTGGCCACTTGGAAAAGGGTGAGCTTCCTGGGAGGGGCGGGCTTTGTGGGCGATGCACGGTCCCGAGCCTTGGCTGCCTGCCCCTCAGCCACACTTCCCCAGACGTCCATGTGCCCGAGTGTGCTGTGGGCATCCCTGCTGAGCACTCCAGCTTTGGGGAGGTCGGTTCTGGGCGTCACTTCTTCCGCCTTTTGGGGGCTTTCTCTTTAGGGTCTTTGCAGCTCTGTAATTAGGGATGTCAGTGACCTGGGACAGGCACTGGCTACTGACGTGCGTCGGAGGCATTCTGCTCTTCAACGCTGCACGCTCGAGTGCGAGGGCTGCAGCTTAGCGGGGACCTGAGTCTTCTCACTGTGGTCCAATTTTTTGTGTTTTATTTTGTCTGGTGGCTTTTAGAGAAAAGAAAAACCAGAAACCTTTCTTGCCATGCCACAGATCAAGTGAGTCTAGCAGTTTTTTTGAAATGACACCCAAGTGGAGTTTAGACCCATATGGACCATGCTTCACTATAAACACTCCTGGCGTTTCACCCTGGTGCTACTGGCTGTGCTGCCACATGCCTGTAACCCCAGCACTCGGGAGGCTGAGGCAGGAGGATCGCCCAAGTTTGAGGCCAGCCTGAGCTACATAGTGAGTTTGAGGACAGCCTGGACTACATGGCAAGACCCCGACTGAAAAAGTTAGAATAACTAAAACGTGTGGTACATTCCACGTGTGCTCCAGGAGCTGGGCTGTTGGATAGCAGAGGCGAGGCAGACCTCTGGGCCTGCGCAGCGGGGCTCGGGCTGGGCCGGGTCTGGCGCAGGTGCCGTGGATGCCTGATGAAGGGCATTTGCCTGTCTGTTGGGGGTTGCAGAGCGGAGCCGGGAGGTGAGGCCTGATCTGAGCCCTAAATGGTACTTAGCGGCAGGAGCCTGGGAGGATAGTACTGAGAGCACGCATGTCGCGGGCAGGGGCCAGAGCCTGCCCAGGTGGACGGGCGGAGGCCAGCAGACAGCACCTGTGTGGGGCCTGGGAGGCCGGCCGGGCTGCGTGACCGTGGGAGCGTCCCCTGCGTGCCGTGCTCTGCCCTGCTGATTTCCTTCTTGGCGAATCTTACACAGTGGTCGGATCCCGTGCAGTGCCGTGAGGCACAGCCTGGTGAGTGGTCAGGGCATTTCTGCCGTGCCAGCCGAGACTGCGGATGCTCTAGCAGGGGCAGGAGGCGTTTTGAGAGCGATGTTAGCGTGACTGTGGAAGTGCAGAATGCTGGGCGAAGGAGCTGCTTGGAGCTCAGGTCAGCATTGTGTCTGGTGTGATCTGCGGAGAGCCAAGGGACAGATTTCCAGGGGGACAGCAGGCTAGAGAAGCGTCAGGTATGCGCTGTGGTCAGAGCACCAACATCCCCTCGTGCAGCGGGGGCTCCGTGGCCGCTGCATGGTGGAGATGGGCAGTGGGAGGGCCAAGGGGACACCTGAAGCAGATGGGAGAGTAGGGCGGGGAGGGGCTGGGCCCAGGACAGCGGGGCACAGTCGGCGTTGCAGCTCTCTGCTGCCATGCAGAGTGCGCCATACTTGTGCCTGGAGTCAGCATTGGTTGCCCTGCAGGTGGGAACTCCTGAGATTGGGGGGGGTGGGGGTGGCCATGACTCTGCTGTCCCCTGTGGCTGCAAGAGCTGTCCAGGTGCCAGGGTGGCCACAGCAAGGCAGAGCCATCTGCCTTGGACCACACACTCAGGCTGTGGCAGGGGCGGAGCCAGTGTCCCATGGGGCTGGGAGGCCGGGCACACACTCAGGCTGGGGGAGCATCATGGCTTTGGGGTGACGTGGCGAAAACCGTGTGGGCTGTCTCCAGGTCCCAGAGCCATGTCTGAGGAGCCAGGGGAACAAGGAAGGACGAGGAGGGAGGAGAACAAGGAAGCAGCGGCGGGAGGGGCAGCTGCCGACCCGAGTCGCGCAGGCCGCTCGGCTGGCCTAGGGGCCAGGGGTCTTGATGTGGTCGCACTGGGAGGCCAGGTTCGAGCAGGCTGATGATTGTGTTGGCAGCAGTGGTGGCAGCTTCCAGGCGGTGTGGTGGCCCAGGCAGAGTAGGGAGGCCACTTTTGTCACCGGCCTCGTTAAAGCACTTTTGTAGTCACTGTGAAAGTACTGAACGTACAAGCAGTAGAGGAAACGGTGCTTCGGGGCCTTCAGGCCTGCTCCTGAGTTTCTGTTTCACGGCAGCTCAGGTCCCTCCTCTCCCTCCTGAGTGCCTGCGTGTGGCGTGTAAAGGCTTGATGGATGCCTGGTGTGCTGTGACCAGTGCGGAGTGCAGAGCCCCGGAAAGCTGGGGCCGTTTAACGTGAAACTTAGGGGCTCACTGCTGGCTTGTTCTTCTCCCTTTCCTTCCCTTTTAGGCTAGTGGTTCTTGAGAGGTGAACCTGCCTGGGACACTCAGTGGCATGTGGAGACACACGCACTGCTGAGGCCTGCGTGCGTGCATGCGTGTGGGTGCGTGTGTCCTTCCTGCAGGAGTCGGGCTGCAGACCCTGCTGTGCAGAGCAGCCTTGCCGCACACTTGTCTGGTGTGTGCAGTGACGGTGAGCCCCTTGTTTGGAGGGCTCACATTTCGGGGCTGGCTTTTTCTCCTGGACACTGAGGCGAACGATTGTTAGTATTCATCTTTTATGTTCTCGTTAAGCTGAGTAGAGGGTCTGTGAATGTCACTGCTGCGCCTGTCCCTAGCTGTGTGCGTGGTGGCGGCCTACTCTGCTGCCTGCCTGAGCCGGGCTGACCCCTGCCGTGTCTGTCTTCCACGCAGATCGTCCAGGCGCATGGCGGCGCGGTGGACCCCGCCCTCACGAGCCGGTGCACTCACCTCCTGTGCGAGAGCCAGGTCAGCAGCACGTACGCACAGGTGAGGAGGCTGCGCGTGCCCGATGGCTGCATGCGCGCGTGCAGCATGTGGCTGTCAGGCTGCTGGGGGGGTTCGGGAAGGAACTCCCGCCACAGTCTGCCACTGCGCCTGCTGGGCTGGGTGCTTTTGTGGGTACCCTTGTCCTTGGGCAGTGGAGAGGAAAGGGTGGCCATCCCCGCCCCTGGCGCTGTTGCAGAGTGGCTCTGGGCAGAAGGGCATGCGCGCCCTGTGGCCATGGGGCACTCCCAGAGCCATTGCGCACCCCCTGGACAGAGGCCGTCCCCTGAGGGTAGCCCAGTGGACTTGGAGTCCTGCTTCTGCTCTCGTGAAGACGCCTTGCCCTGTAAGTGGGCTGAGGTCCATGGACCTGTGGTAAATGAGCCATAGGATGGTCCCCTTGGTGGACGGCAGCTGCGTGGAGGGGCCCGTATGTCCGTGCGTGGCTCTTGGTCACCAGCCTGCAGTGAAAAAGAAAAGACTCTCGCAAAAATAGTCATTTACTGTGTCCTTAGCACAGTAAAGACATAGGAAGTCTGTGAGCTTGCTGCTGTGGTCCGTGGTAGTGCCCGGTTACGTTTTGTTGCCTTGCTTCGTGTTCTTCTGGAGCAGTTCTAGGTCCAGGGCTCGTCAGTGCCATTCCTTCTGCTTGTTTGTGTGGGTGTCACACAGTCCCTTGCTCTTACCCCGTTGCCGCTCTGGATCGCAGACAATGGCATTTTCTGGTCGGGTGGATGGTCCCAGGTGTACTGTTGTAGTCCGCTGCCTGAACAGATTGCGTGCTCATTATCTTGGCATTCCTGTAGTTAGGGGCTTTCCAGCAGTGGTGCTGTGGGCGTGCAGCGCGCCGCTTTGCATTTCGGACGCAGCAGAGCTTCCAGAACAACAAAGCCTGTGATCTTGTTTGACAGGCGATACGAGAACGGAAGCGCTGTGTCACTGCACACTGGCTGAACACAGTCCTGAAGAAGAAGAAGATGCTGCCGCCTCACCGAGCCCTGCACTTCCCGGTGGCGTTCCCGCCTGGCGGGAAGCCGTGCTCACAGCACGTAAGGCAGCTGGGGTCTGGTTTGATTTGCTTTTGTTCTGAATCAGTTTTGGGGGCACTGAGCGTGTGTGGCTGGCCACCCGCGGCTTGCTTGGGCAGGTTCCCTGTGCCTGTGGCCCAGCACGGCCTGTTTCCTGTTGTGCCTGCAGCAGGCATGGCTTTATGCACAGGCCTGTACTAATGCTTCTCCAAAGCCTTGGGCAGTGTTTGAGATTCCAAAATGACTCAGGTGTCTGTCCCCCAAGCAGCCAGTGTTGGGCAGAGCTTTAGCAACAGCTGTGGGCTCCCTCTCCCCATGCCTAAGGATCTGGAGGTGAGATCCATTCAGAGCAGAAGCCTGGCTCTCGGGCCTGCATCCGAGCAGCGGCATAGCCGCACCGAGAAGATCTGCCTGGACTCGATGCCTTCTGCTCAGTTGTCTTCTGACTGGGAGGTTCTGGTCTGCTGTGGCTACTCAGGTTCTAGTCTCGCATTCTTAGGAATGATAGGACCAGATATTTCCTGCAATGACAAATAAATAATGAGAAAAATGTGTATGAAACAACTACAGCGTTGAAGAAACAGCATGTTTTTCAAAAGCTGCATTTGTTCCTGTGTGTCTGCAGATTATCTCTGTGACTGGGTTTGTGGACAGCGACAGGGATGACCTGAAGTTGATGGCGCACCTGGCGGGCGCCAAGTACACGGGCTACCTGTGCCGCAGCAACACCGTCCTCGTCTGCAAAGAGTGAGCCTGTGCCAGCCCTTTCGGTCCTGCATCTGCACGTGGCCGAGGGCTATTGCAACCTTGTTCTTTCTTAAGCTGCTGTGATTTAGGGCAGTGATCCCAGTGGGGAGCTGGTCTGTGGCAGAGTGGGTGTGATACTCAGGCAAGCAGTGTTCACAGAAGTGCTTACTGGGAAGTGTCTGGCTGCTGCTTTGGAGCAGTGCAGTGTGAATGAACGTGGGGTCTGTCCCCAGGGCAAGGTCACAGCAGGCCCGCCTGGTGGCCTCCCACCCAGCCTGAACCCCGAAACCTTTCCATCCCTCAGCTGGGGTCGCCAGCAGCTTTGCTGAGGTACCTCTGCCACTTCTGTTATGAGGGATGCTTTCACTGGCTTTGGTCAACAGTGGGTGTGAATGTAGATAGTCAGCAGCTCTAATGTCTAGTAAATATGCCTTCTCTTCACAAACAGACCCAGCGGTTTGAAGTACGAGAAGGCCAAAGAGTGGAGGATCCCATGTGTGAATGCACAGTGGCTCGGCGACATCCTGTTGGGGAATTTCGAGGCGCTGCGGCAGACTCAGCACGGGCGGTACACGGCCTTCAACCTCCAGGACCCCTTCGCGCCCACGCAGCACCTGGTGCTGAGCTTGCTGGGTAGGCGACGCTTCCCGTGGTGCGGGACAGGTGGGCTCCCTGCCGGCTTCTGCTGCCGCTGTGGGCACCAGGAGTACCTTTGCGGCTCCGACTGGTTCTTAGTTGTGTCCTGTTCTTTCCTGCACGCTTTGCCTGGGCCCTCATTGGCTCCTAGTAGGCTTTTGGCGTGGGAAGGAGCGTGAGGAAGCCAGGAGTCAGGCTCTCGGGCCGAGGCCTCGTGGGCAGGGTCCTGCCCTGGGAACATGCCTGCTCCGCAGGGGCAGTGTCTTCCTTGTGACTGTTGGGGTTTGCTGTTCATCCTGGGTGTCCCTGTCGTTGGCCCTTGGCCATCACCCAGCTCCCTGGGGGCCCTTATTTAGTGAACACTGTGGCACCCACCTTGGCTTGCAGCTCTGGAGTTGGAAGCTGCTTGTGGAAGGCTGTGTGGGGCAGGCCCTGGTGTTCTCGTGAAGAGGTGTGCTCTGCCCTCTGGGTCTTGAACCATGGAGAAGCTGTCCTCCTGGAGCCGCCTCTGTGCTCCTGCTCCTTGCTGGCCTTGTGGCTGCTTTTCTCACGAGTAGGCCAGTCCCCGGGCGCCTCTACCTGTGTAGTGTGGTCCTTCTGCCCGCCTCCTCGGACCTAACCGACGTGTGGTGGGCAGGCCAGCCTGTGCTGCCCAGGGCGGACCACACCACACATGGTGGGCACCAACCTGTGACGTCATGGTCCCCTCGCTGCTGGGCTCCCTCGTGCTGCTCCTGTGCCTCGTGCCCATGAGAGCTTTGAAACAGTGTTTCAAGGAAAGCTGTACGTGCGCTCAGGGTCACCGTCCCAGAAGAGGCATTTAGGAGAACGTTCTTGTGTATAAGCAGCGTGTTGTTCCTCTCTAGACGCGTGGAGAGTTCCGCTGAAAGTGTCGCCGGAACTGTTGATGGTAAGTCACCGCAGTTACTTCTGCTTGGCTCATGTTGCGCTATTCAGATGCAGCAAGGATGTTTGGAAGTTTGTGTTTATAAATAAAAATTATCTCGTCACTTGATGACAGATGAAGGCGTGTCTTACTGTCTTCCTGTTGTCATGAGATGCCAGGGCACCCTAGGCCTTTCTCCTGATCACTAGTGCTCGTGGTCTCATCCACACGTCTGTGTGGAGCATTTCTTGCTTTGGAGAGCTCTGTGGGTGCTTCCAGGGTTGGAGAACTTCGGGCACCACTAGAGGAGGTGGCCACTGTGAGCTGCTGCGGGCCTCAGGGTCCAGGCGTGGCCTCCTCGGGTGCCAGTCTCCAGGCCTGTGCCTGCTGGACCTGGGCTCTGATGGGTGCTTCCCGCCACATGCACGGAGGTGGAAGGCCATTGGTTGCTAGCATGGGGTGTCTTGTGGGGTCCTGCTGCATGCTCTGCTGTAGCTTTGATGGATAAAACATTTTTATGTTTTTTTATGTATTTAATACAGGGTCTCACTACACACATTGGGCTCGTAGTGATCCTCCTGTTTTCAGCCTCCCATGCACTGGGGATTATAGGCGTGTGCCACCATGCCCAGCCTCAGCCGCCATCTCAGTGTGCCCCGGGGGCGGAGCTGGGGTGGCAGGCTGGGGATCGAACCCCGGCCGCTGTGTCTGCCTAATCTGCTGAGCTGTCTGGCTGGCTAGCAGCAGTGTTTTTATTGTTGGTCAATAGAGGTGTGATACATACATAGCACACATGCGCGTGTGTGGGGCTCACCTTTCCATTTTCTCTAGGAAGCCATATATATCTCCTATTTTGGGGGCTTAAACCACTCAAATCTAATGATTTTAGCAAGGCAGTACAGATAGGCTCTGACATTAAGCAGAAGCACATACCCTGTTGGTTCATTTAGATGAAAGAAATTTTAGAATACCTTTTAAGATCAAGCTGGAGGGCTGGGGATAGCTCAGTGGCACAGTGCCTGCCCAGCACATGCAAGGCTGTGAGTTTGATTCCTGGTACCAAAAACAACCAAAAAAGATCAAGCTGGAAAAGGGGTCATCGGTTTTTCCTGCCATACCACCTGGAGGCTATCCTAAAGTTCCCTGGGCTATGCATGTCAAGTTCTCTGGTGGCTGTGTATTACAAGCTGAGAGTAACAGCCCACAAGGCCCACTGCACCTTTTCACCCATCTTGCCATGGTTCTGCCCTTGCTGCTTGGGAGGGGACTGTGGGTTAGAGGCAGAGGCATGGTCTGGAAGCAGGTCCAGGGCGGTGTTGTTGTAAAGGTGGTGACAGATGCGAGAGCCCTCCTGCAGATTCCCAGGCAGCTTCGCTCGGTGTCCAAGATGGCCGACAGAACCCCGATGTGTTGGAAGCGTGTGCACGTTTGCTTTGGCTGTGCAGAGACAGCAGCGCTGCTTAGAATGTAGAGTGTGCACTTAGTGTACATTAACCTGGCAGAGAAGTTGTTGAGAAGAGCAAACCTAGTTCGGATAGAGAGACGTGGACAGGTCAAATGCCGTTTTGGAAGCAGCCTGAGGAAGGAGCGAGCCGGGGCTGGGTGGGAGCAGAGGGGAGGTGCTGGCAGTGGGGCCGGGTCCTGTCCTCTTCTGCTGTCCCCCCACCCAGGCCAGCGCCTTCTGCACACAGAATGTGTGCCTCGCCTCGGCGCCTCTGGTGGTGCTGCTCTAATGGTCGTGGGGAGTCGTGCATGCCAGCTCGAGAGCCCTTTCTGTTTTAAGGAATATCGTTTTTTTGGTTTTTTTTACGGAAATTAATTGTCGTGTTTTTCACATTTTAAAGTTGGGGCACAGGACAGAGCACTTGAAAGAAAAATGGTTGAGAAGTCCTGGTTGAGGACAGCATGTGTGACATACAACAAGGAAAGAAGGGACAAGGGAGCTGGGAGGGCTGGCTGGCTGGCTGGGGGCAGAGCTGACCTCAGCTGCTACTCTGAGGGCCGAGGCGTAGCTGCTCCAATGCTGAGCCGAGCCCCTGTTTGGCAGGTACTCCTGGAAGCTGGTGAGCCGTGGGAGGACTGGGGTGCCTGAGGTGGGCAATGTTTTTGTTACAGGGCATAAGGTTACCTCCCAAGCCGAAGCAGAACGAAGTAGCCAGCATCCAGCCTTCCTCCAAAAGAGCCAGGTAGGAATAGCACTGGCCTGTGTTGGGCCTGGCTACCTTCACAGGTCTGTGTTGGGAGACTGGTGGCAGCCGGACAGAGTTGGTAGGGCTTTCACAGTAGGGCAGGCTGTGAGGCCTTGTGTGGGCTTCCCCTTACTGTGCTGTGTCTCATTGTGGGAGATGGACAGCTAATAAAGACAGGGCCAGTAGGTTTCTTTATTAAACAAGCAAGAACAATTGTTTTTCTTTAATCTTGGCTGTACTGGAACCGTCAGTGTGTGAAACAGGAGCCACGTGGCGCGAGGGGGCCCCACTCTGCTGGCCGCTGCAGCCCTGCTGCGCACGGCCCTGCCTGCCTGGCCCTGCCTGGCTATGCAGGTCTCCCTGGCGCATGCACTTGCTGGTGGCCAGTCAGCCCTGCGTGGTCAGCGTTTGCACGTCTCTGGGCTCCTGGCCAGCCAGTCTGGGCCCACGTGGAGGCCTGCACATGCACTGCATCACAGTGAAACGTGGCTCAGAGCCGCCTTTGGCAGTAACCATTTCCTCACCTCTCCTCTTAAAGTCTTAAGGAAAATGTGCATTTATGAATTTATTTGGCATTTTGAGATAGGGTTTTGCCATGTAGTTCAGGCTGGCCTTGAACTCACTGTGGTTCCAGGCTGTCCTTAAACTTGAGGCGGTCCTCCTGCCTAGCCTCCCAAGGGCTGGGATTACAGGTGTGCGCTACTATGTCTGGGTCAGATATTTAGATTGTAAAATTTATCAGTCTAAAAGCCACTGTCCTTGATCCCCTTAGAGCCCCTCGCTTTGTGTACTCCCACCGTTCTAGCCCCTTCAGAGAGTACTGCAGCCCTCTTTCTTGGCTGCTTTTGGTTGGACTGTCCTGCCTGCCTTGATGTCTGAGTCAGGACAAAATGCTTACCTTTCGTGGTCACTTTGACTTGGGGAGGAGCCAGAAGGCGCAGGTGCCAGACCTGATGAGCAGCAAGCATGGAGCCATGTTCGTACACACCAGCCTTGCCGTCGTGTGGCGCTTGGCCGCACATCCACTGTAGTTTCCATCAGACCACGCGAAGACCCTCGGGGAAGACTTTTGGAGCTACTGCAGGCGTGGCAAGGATGATGGGCCACGTTTGAAGCAAGGGGATCCATGGCAGTGCGTCCTACTCGTAATAAGTAGTCTTGCGTTTAAACACCTACCACGTTTTGGTCCTACCCTGTGAAGGGCAGGAAGGTCTGAGTCAAGCGCCCACACGCCGCAGTGCAACAGTGTGCCAGTCCCTGGGGGGCAGATCATGAGACGAGGAGGGGTAGCAGCGGCACCAGCGTGCCTGGGTCCTCGTGCTGTCAGCAGCAGGGTGCAGAGGTGCCACTTGCAGGGCTGAGGCGGGAGGACTAAAAAGTGGAGCCCAGCCATAGACATGGCAAGGAAGCGCGATGGGAAGGTGTGCCAGAGACGCCGCACGTGCGCGCCAGCTGCTCGGCCCTCGGCGAGGTGCCTGGTGCCTGGCCTGGCCCAGCAGTGGCCCAGCACGCATCCTCAGTCCTCGCTGAGCAAGGCCCCTCGCCAGCTGCCACTGACAGTGCCCGCCCTGATTCTCCTCTGCTCTAAACTGCTCTAAAAGAAAAAGCAAAATTCTTGCTTCCCTGCAGAGCTCAGTGTCATTGCCCATTGGCTTTGGTGCTGTTGGGATCCTTGGCTGATGCTTAAGTGAACGGGTGCCAAGGGCTCCTGCGCGAGAAACAGGATTAAACTGGGTTTCCTGCCCTCCTTCCTATGAGAAGTCAGTTTTTCATGAGTTTGACTTTCATGGTTTTGTAAAGAAATCCAGTTTTTCAGAAAAAAAGTAATTGCAAGGGTCCTGGACAATTTAACCAAGACTGATAAGCATGTAGGTCGAGTATTTGCAAGACCCTGTCTCGAAAAATAGGCTGGGCATGCAGATCAGTGTGAAGGTCCTGAGTTCAGTCCCGGAGCTGAAAGAGGGAGGGAGAAGTCAGTGACGGAAAAGAGATAGCTGTAGCATTTCCTTCCCTTTTAAGCCCAGTTAAGGACAAGCCAGTTGGGAGAAGGATTGAGGCGGAGCAGGAGACCTGATCACACCAGGCCCACAGCGCTGCTGCCCCTCGCAGGTTTTAGGCTCTTGGGGAGACTGGGGAGGGCCTGTTGAGCCTTCCCCTAGCCACGGAGGGGTAAGCCCTTGCGGTGGTTCACCTGCCGAGTCCTGTGTTCCTAGAGAACATTTGCAGAGGATGACACAATCATCAGGGTCCCACGTTTATTTTACAGAATCGAGGATCTTCCACCTCCCACGAAAAAGCTGACCCCGGAGCTGACGCCCTTGGTACTTTTCACAGGATTTGAGCCCGGCCAAGTTCAGCAGTACATTAAGGTGAAGTGTGAGTCCATGTTACGGGTGCTTAGCTGTGTTCCTCCCACGTGTTTACTCCAGGCTGGTTGCTTAGGGAGCTCATGCTTGTCCCGCAGTGTCTTCTCGCAGTGGGTGGAGGGCGCAAATCTGCAGCCGTGCAGGGTCTTCTGGTCACTCGCGGTCAGCAGCTGACTCCCCCTGTGTCTGTGCTGCCCTTCACACCTGGTGCTCGGTAGCGAGAAGACGCAGCTTAGAGGCCTGGGGAGAGCTGTGTCCCCGTCCCAGCAGCATCCCAGCTGTGCAGAGTCACTTCCACAAGGACCTTTGGCTTCAAGGGCAGGAGCTTGGGTTCTGGGGCTGAGCCCAGCCGCCTGGATGTGTGCTTTGAGGGGCATGGTTGTTGGAGTAAGTGGGAGTGGAGTTGTAAGCAAGCCTTGTGGAATCACAGCACAAAGGGTCCAGGGACTATTTTGTCATTGTTCCGTTTTGGTGGAGGATGGGTCAAGACTCGGGCTACTACGTGAGCCTAGGTCCATACAGTTCCTCCTGCCAGCGGCTGTGGGGAAGAGACGGGAAGTGCTGCTGCTGTTACAAATGTGGTGCAATTCTTCTACCTTTTCTACCTGCGAGTACAGCTATTAGGTCTTTTCTTTTCCTTGTCTCTTTTCTTACCCTCCCTCCCTCCTGTCTTTTTGAGATGGTTCTTGCTTTGTAGTCCAGGCTGTTCTCAAACTCACAACAGTCCTCCTGCCTCAGCCTCCTGGAGTGCTGGGATTATAGCTGTGCGCCACCATGCTCATCTTATAATCTTTTTTTATGCTGACTTTTAAAAATGGAAGTAGTGTGCTAATGTAGCGCATTACCCCAGGTCTGTGGGTTGGCCTCACCCCACATTTGGAGGTTCTGCTTTGTGTACAGTGGGATCCAGAGAGGCCCACTGTCACTGCTACCCCAACTGCGCCCGCATCTTGGAGGCTGGGTCCTTTGCCCCCCGCTGACGCACCTTTCCTTGTCTGGCTGCAGAAGCTCTACGTCCTGGGCGGTGAGGTGGCTGAGTCTGCGCAGAAGTGCACCCACCTCATCGCCAGCAAAGTGACGCGCACCGTGAAGTTCCTGACGGCCATCTCCGTGGTGCGACACATCGTGACGCCGGAGTGGCTGGAGGAGTGCTTCAAATGCCAGGAGTTCATCGGTGAGCCTGCCCTGCCCGGCTGCTCGCGTTTTCCTCGCAGAATCTGCACTGTCTTCAGACAGTTGGATAATTACTCATTCGTGTTTATAAACTCATTTCGTGTCCCAGGGGTTCCTTTGATTAACGCTTTTTATTTCACCATGAGATATGAAGGTTTGCTAGTTTGGATGCTGTCAGGGGAAGGATCAGCTCTCTGTCCTTCGCCTGTTATTGGGACCTGGCTGTGTAATGAGAGTTGGCAGCGCAGCCAGTGTCTGTCTGTGGCTTCACATGGACACAGCGGAGCATGCAGATGTCCTGGCACAGGGTGCGAGCTCCCAGGAGCAGCGCCTGTGTCCGTGCTGCCAGTGGTATGTTCAGCGCTCCGTATGAAGGAAGCCCACTCTTAGGGTGGTGGACACGTGCTGTCGGGGGTGAGCCCAGGTTTTAAGTGACGGTTTTCTCCATATAAACTGGAGCTGGGCCGGCAGTGGAGCGTTGGTGTGCCCTGCCCGCCGCCCCAGCCAGCAGCACCCTTGAGGTTTCCTGTGTGGGCTGCGGGCCGCAGGCTGCACATCTGTGCACCCAGGGCTGTTGATTTGTTTTTTTTCCCCAGCCACTGTGCCACCAGTGGAAGCCCCTGCGCCCACTGTGCAGCAGCAGGTGGCTGTCCAGCCTCTGCTGCACCGTCGTATGCCCTTCGCGGCCTGCCGTTGGCATGCCTGGCACATACACTGCATGGACCCAGCTGCCTGGGACGGTGGTCGTTAAGTCAGACTTGGTCAAAGGGAAGATTGCAGACAGGTCACGCGTTAGCCAGTATAGCATGATGGTACAGAGGAGAAGGCAAGACCGCTGTGTGCCGGAGCACCGGAGGCAGAACTAAACCTGCAGATTGCCTGTAGGGCAGCAGAGTGTGAATGCGTGGGTCGGCCTGGGAGAGAGCCTGGATTCTTGGCCCCGTGTTGAGTCACTGCCTGGAGAAGTGTGTTGGGCGCCGCTGTCCCTCATCACCCTTGCCAAGCGATGCTCGCCTGTGGCGCAGACAGCACAGTGTAGAGCATGGGCCAGACTGCTGAGGGGACGTCCTGACACAGTGGGAGCAGAGGCCATGAGGGGGCTGGGCGTGTAGCCCAAGGAGTCCAGGTTCCTGACTTCATGTCCACAGGCATCACCCTTGGGCCACAGCGCTGATGATGAGGTTGCACATGCAGTTCAGAGAGTAGGAAACTTACTTGCTCCCTGCCAGCTGTATCTCCAGCAGTCAACAAGCCTCAGTATTGCTGGCATGAGGCAACTGCTGCCCAGACCTGGGGGTCAGCAAGGTGTGGACTGGCTTTTTTGTTTCTAAAGAGAAGAATGTACAGCAGAAGTAGTTGAGGCCTGCACACCTGGGAATCCTCTGGTGACCTAGTTGCAGACATGGCTCCTAGCTCCCTCTCCCCTGCCGTGCGGTCAGGTGGAGCCATCTGTCACGCTGAGCGCAGTCATGCCTTGGAGCAGGAGGAGAGGCACCTCTGCAGGAAGTGCCAGTGCCATGTGACTAGCCCTGTGCTGTGACTTCTGGCGGGTGGACGTTTGTTAGAGCCGAAAGCCCACTTGTTGAGAATTCTCAGAAGTCTCCAGACCCCAGCTGCTGTACCTCAGACTTCTGTGCTGGGGTTGGCTGGTGCATGTTTTGTCCACTTCAGAAGAATGGGTTTCTGTCAGGTGGGAGACTGCCCAGCGTGCCGAGGGGCTGAGGGCCCCACGGTGCTGGGAGTTGGTCTGTGGTGGCAGCAGATGTGGTGGCCACGTGCTGCAGGCCCCTGCGCTGGCATCCTGAGCTGCGCAAGGGCTGGGCCGTGAAGGCCCCCCAGCGCTCTGCACGTGTCCAGCCCTGGGAGCTGTGCCGCTCCCTGCCTGTCTTTGGGGTCTGAGCTGTTCCAGGGGAAGCAAGTGAAAGGCAGTGGTGAGGCCAGGGGCCCAGCATCCATGCGCAGCACGAGGGCGGCTGTGCCGGCCATGCCCCGCAGCCTGTGCTTTCAGACTGCACTTCTGTGTTTTTCAGACGAGCAGAAGTATGTCCTCCGGGATGCTGAGGCCGAGGTGCTTTTCTCTTTCAGTTTGGAGGAGTCCTTGAGACGGGCGCACGGCTCCCCACTCTTCAAGGTATGTAGAGAGGCAGCCGTGCACATGTGGCAGGCAGCACTGCAGGGCACACCGAGGGGGCCGGGGCTTAGAGGCCAGCGTGCTGTGGGAGCACTCCTACAGGGAGCCTTTCCCCCAGCACCTGCTCTTTACGCAGCTTGATTGGCACAGAAATCAGACGCCCAGGGGTGTCAGAGACCCAGGCATTCAGGGAGCCATCCCTGGGTGATGGAGCTGGGAGACGCCCACCTCTGCTGTGAGCTGGCCTTCCAAGGACACTGCAGGGCCGCTCTCAGTGAGCGTGAGCTCGGCCGGAGCAGGCGTGGAGAGGAGTTAGTGGGATTCTGCGTGCGGGACTCGGAACTAAAAGTTTTAAAAGGGGCCAGGGAGATGGCTCAGTGGAGTAAGTGCTTCCCTGGCAAGAGCAAGGGCCTGAGTTCAATCCCTGGTTCTGGGGAAAAAAAAAAAAAAAAAAAAATTATAATATATATATATATATATATATACAGTCCAGGGTTTAGGGGCTGGGGAGATAGCTCGGTGGAATAAGCACTTGCCTGGCAAGCGAAAGGACCTGAGTTCAATTCCTGGTTCCACCAAAAAAACCCCAAAAAACCAAAAATAAAAGTTTTAAAACGTTTGTTAGATGTTAGAGACATAGAATAGTTGGGAAGTATTTTTTGTATCAAAGAGCAAAGTAAATCAATAATCTGTTCTTTGAAGTTCTATGGAGTCAGTTTAAGAATTAGGAATAACCTGGAATGTTGAATTAGCATGCATACCTGAAAATAGTTTGATATTTCAAATATTTATTTAGTTTTTTTTCTGTGAGCAGTTTAAAACAAAATAATGTTTTGTTGCATGCATAGAAACAAGCTCACGAGAGAGTTAACTCCTAGGCTTTCATCTCACTGCCTCCTCTGCTTGAGTTTAAGTCATAAAAACGGGAAAGGTTTTCAGGCCCAGAGCCCAGCCGCTTCGGGCAACGCCCGTGAGTGCTAGTAGCTGTCGTGCAGTGCTGCCTGAGGTGGTGTGAAGTCATGACGGGGACGCGAAGGCATGGCAGGCTGGCTCATGACAGTGACGCGTGCATGGCAGGCTTGCTTGCATGCCAGGGACCTGAGATCTGGTTCCTTTGTCACAGGTCTTAGGTCATGCTGAGAGTGCTTTGTTACCCCGATTTCCACACGTAGGCTCTTCTAAGCGAATACAGGAGACTGTTACCACCATTCGAGTCTCAGGAAGCGGGACCCTCAGAGCTTGCAGGGCTGTAAGCATCCGAAAGCACTGCGCTTTTGCTCTCCGTTTCCTTCCAGGCCAAGTACTTCTACATCACGCCCGGCATCTGCCCGAGCCTGTCCACCATGCGGGCGATCGTGGAGTGCGCGGGTGGGAAGGTGCTGACCAAGCAGCCGTCCTTCCGCAAGCTCGTGGAGCACAAGCAGAACAAGGTGAGGTGTGCGCCGCTGCGCCCCGCTCCCGCTGGCGTTCCCGGGCTCACGGCTGCGGTGCTCTCCCCTAGAGTCTGTCGGAAATCATTGTGATCTCCTGCGAGAACGACCTGCACCTGTGCCGCGAGTACTTCGCCAGAGGGATTGGTAAGGCTCGCCCCGCCTCCGGCGGACACAGCCCTGCGCGCGCCGACGCTCCCCTGCTGCGCGTGCGGTCACTCACCTGCTGCGCTGGCGTCCTTCCTTGCAGATGTTCACAATGCAGAGTTTGTCCTGACCGGTGTGCTAACACAGACGATGGACTATGAATCATATCCTTTGGCAGAAGGCTGGCGCCAGGGTCGCACCCGCCCCTGCTGTCGCCTGCTCGAGCTGCTGGCAGCTCTTCCTGCAGGCCCTCGCGGGCCCCCGGCACAGTGGTCTCGGGGGCGAGGTCGGTCTTAGTGCTGACCAGTCGTGTAGGCGTTTACGTGTTCCACAATCAACTAAGATAGAAAATAGCTACGAGACAAAAGCCTTCAGTGTTGAACCGGTTTTTGAGTTTGTATCTTTGAAAATGGAATGTCGCCTGCGTGTGTTCTCTGCGCTGGAGCTTGCTGGGGACAACAGCTTGATAGAAGCACTGTGGTCCATCGCTTGTGGTGTTCACTGGGAGGGCCGGCCTTCAGGGTGGTGTTCGAACGTCCGTAGGCTGTGGTTTTCAGCACTCAGGAAAAATGTTTCTCGTGCTGTTTATGATCTTCATTAAACATTAAAAATCAAGACTACTCTGTGCCCAGCAGCCCCAGCGAAGCACTGTGGCTCCCAAGCCCTTGTGCGTGAGCACCGCCCGACCCCGGCGTCTCAAGCCCGCGGGCTCAGGGTCTGGTGAGCTGACTGGTTTTATCACACAGCTCCTCTGAGCCTGGAAGGGCTGCAGTGTTTGCTGTCAGTCGGAGGCCCGGGGCACCTCGGCACAGAGCCCTTTAGGAGGAAGGATTGGCTGAGCTCGCGGGCGGCCAGGACGCGCACGGAGGACGGGGGCTGTCACCCAGGTCACGCAGACAGCTGCGGAGTGCTCAGCGGCATACTGGCCTCCTCGCACCTGTTCTGGGTCTCGGCCACTCCCGTTCGTGTTGCTGAGAGCCTGTTCTCTCCTGCGCCTACTTCTAGGGGCAGGAGCTGCTTACTCTGTGGCTGAGTGACTTGGCTGGGGGTGCCGTGTGTCTTTGGGGGCCTTCCCCACGCAGAGCTGGAAGGGCCTGGCAGCCTGTCTGGGGAGATGTGGGGTGTGCGGCTCTCGTGGGGCTGGTGGTGGGGCCAGGCGCTTGGGCACTTGAGCCATCCGGCTTGTGCATTGGGCCGTCCTGGGATGTGGCTTCGCCCTTTGTCAGCCCACGTGGGAGGTTCTGTTGTGTTTATTTTTGGTTTTGGTGGTTCTGAGGAGTGACGCTGCTGGGCCTGGGTGTGCATGTGACCAGGTGAGGCGAGGTACAGACTGTACCCGTCCAGGCGGGCCAGGCGGTGCACAGGCCGCGAGGCTCACGTGCAAAGCTGTTTTCCTCAACAAGCTCACATACAAGTTTAACTGAGGCCCGCCCAGCCTGCGCCCGCCGGAGCCTGCGCCGCCTGCGCACTCGTTTTCCAGCTGCTTCCTGAGGGAGGAGACGCTGAAGCAGGAAGACGTGGAACACCTGTGGTGCATCTTATTAAGATGTGTAATTTTATTCTGAGGAAACATAAATTATGTTTTGTATTATATGACTATGAGCCCACATTAGGTTTTATGATTCATTTGCCAGGTTTTAAAATGCTTTCACAAAATTATGGAATTTCAGCTACAAATAAAGTGGTGTAAATAAAGACCTTGCTATCTAAATTATGGATGTTAAAGATTTGAAATGTTTTATACTTTATTTTTATTTCTTATACTGTTTTCTTTTATATGGACATCTTGCCCACATTTTAAATAAATGTACTTTTGAATTTAGAATCGAGTGATCTTCTTTGTAGGCACTGGTTTTTTAAAAGTATGCTTGTGCTACATAACGAATGTACTGGCCACGGGCGTTGGCCCGTTACGTCTTGACGCTAGGGGAGGCTTCCGTTAGTAGTGAGTGCCTTCAGTTCGTAGGTCTTGATTTCTGCGCCTCAAGCTGGATCACATTTTTGAGTCATTACAAGGCAAAATGCTTCCTAGTGAGTTTACTCCTTGGAGTATAGATGGAAAGTGGAAGGTAGCAGCAGGGAGGAAGGGAGAGCTTCTGTGAACAGAAAGAGGGCCAGGGAAGGGGCTGGGGACAGATGGGAGCTGTGCGCCAGTTGCCGCTGTGTGCAGGGGCCGGGTTTGCCCAGCACGGCTGACCCCAGACGCAGGTGCTGTCGCGGCGGTGGCTGCTGCTCAGGTCACATCGTGGCCGCAGACCCCGTCCGTGTGCAGAGCCCCCTGGAGGTGCACGTCGGAGCTCTGTCTGTGTCCGTAACCCTTCCTAAGGCGTGCTCCCAGAAGCGGCTGTGATCCGCCTTGGAGTTCATTAATTGCATGATCTGACCAGCTGAGTCCCTGAACGCAACTTGGGACTGACAGTACCGTCTCTGGTGGCCTGAGGGTGCCCAGGCTGGGCGTTGGCCGTGTCTCTGGCGCCGCTCCGGCATGGCTTTCTCCTGGCCCTGTGGGCCAGGACCATGGAGGGAGCTCAGCTTTGGGGATGCCACCCCGCCGTGTGTCCCGGCTGCCCTGTGTTACCCATTTGCTGTCTAACCTGGCCTGTTGCAGCTTCACGGTGACCCTGCAGGTCTCACTGAATGCAGCGGTCTGGGCTTTGGTCTTCAGGGTGCTTCCGGGGCTGCTTCACTGTCCTAATGGCGAGGCTGTTGGGACGCTCAGCGTGTTGCATGTGCAGTTCCCTACGGAGGAGGAGCAGCCCAGAGCGGAGGGAGGGCGGTAAGGGGAGCGTAGGTGGCGGGCCGGCTGGTGATCCCCTTTCCCAGCTTATGTGCTGCTGCAGGCGCATTTTGGGAAGAAGGGCAGCTTTGTCTTTGGAGGGAGTAAAATAACTTGGGAGGTGAAAGACTGAAACCAGGAGGCAGGGAGGACACCCTGGAGTCACTTTTGGGAGAAGTGACCAGACCGAGGGCCTCAGGGAAGGGCACTTCGAAGGGAAGAAGCGTCACTTTGTGTTTTTTTTTTTTTTTTTTTTTAAAGAATTATTTATTTATTTATTTATTCATTCATTTATTTTGTGTGTGTGGCCAGCTCAGCCCACCAGGGGGCGGGGCTGGCTGGCATGTGGTGCTGGGGAATGGAACTGCGGTCCCTGTGCTTTGCTTAGCTTAGCTTGTTCTAAATAGGTGCTTTAGACCACTGAGCCATCTCACCAGCCCTCACTTTGTGGTTTAAACCAAAAACTGTGCACTTGGGGAAGCAAGAGTGCTGATGGTGGCCAAAAGAAGAACCTGTGCGCACGCCCAGGATCCCAGCACTCAGGAGGCTGAGGCTGAGGCGGGAGGGTCACTGCACGTTCAAGGCCAGCCTGTGCGACGTAGTGAGAGCCTGCCTCCGAAAGGAAGAAACTTGGTCAGTGCAGCAGAGAACTGAGCGGTAAGAGGCTGCTGTTTGGGGTGAGGGGTGTAAGCTGAGTTCCCTTAAGGTGCTGACAGTGGCCCCCGGGCATCAGTGGGCAGGGACAGATGCTGCCCCTGCAGTGGCAGGCGGTGGGGGCAATGAGGGGCCAGGCCCAGGGCGGGATTTCTGTCTGCAGTGGAAGGTGGGAGCCTGGGCCCAGCTGTATTCTGAAAATGGAAAGTGCTGAGGTTAGCTGGGTGAGTGGTGTGATCTGGTGTGGCGGAGTTCAGGCCGAGAACCAGGCTGAGCCAGCCAAGCTGCCTCTGTGGAGGGGGAGAGGCTCAGCCCCGCCCACAAGGAGCCCGGGGAAGATGAGTGCAACATGGATGTCACCTGACAGTGCCCCTGGGTCCCTCACCAGGTCTGCCACTGGGGTAGCACTTCCATCCTGCGCCTCCCCGGTCCTTAGATCACCACCCCTCCTCCCCTGGGCTGTGGGCACGATGAGAGCAGCGCAGCTGTGGCCGCCCCCACCCTCCGCTGCAGCCCAGCCCCTCCCCACCGGTGGGCCTGGAGAAGTCCCGCCCAGACTTTGGGCCAGGCGCCTTAAGACGCTTTGCAGGTCTTTGGTGGAACCGTCTTCATCCAGGACACTGCGACTCACAGAAGGGACCGGCTCGAGGCCAGGCAAGCACAGACAGAGCAGGAGAGGCCTGCGGGCTGCTCCAAAGCATGATAGAAACTACAGGGGGCCGGGAGATGGCTCAGTGGAATAAGCGCTTCCCTGGCAAGCACAAGGTCCTGAGTTCAATCCCCGGTTCTACCAAAAAAAAACAACAAAAAAAAACCAAAACTATGGGTAAGAGCCTGCAGATGTGACAATGAAGTACAGTGATTGAAACAGGAACTGTGATGGTGCTTTACAGACAGCAGGATCTCGTACGTAGAAAAGCAAAGATGCCGCAGAACGTGTTAGAACTAACCGGTCAGCGTGGTCACAGGATCCAAAATCAGCAGAGCAGGGTATTTTTCTATGTACAGATTAATAAACCATCTAAAGCATTCTATTTTAAAGAACACAAGAATATAAGTTTTTAGGAATAATCTTAAAAGTCAAGGAGGTTAAAGCCTCATTACACTGAAAGCTAAAACACCAGTGAGAAATGAACACACCAGTAAGTGGAAAGGCGGCCCACGTTCGGTGTGGAGGACCACAGCGCTGAGCCTCATTACTCAGGGCGATCTGCAGGCTCGGTGCAGCCCCCATCGAAATTCCTTTTGCCCCCAGAACCAAAAAAATTGCTAAAATGTGTACTGAATCACAAGAAATCCTCAATAGCCAAAGCAATCTTGAAACAAGAAAAGGGCTGAGGACATGGCCCCAGCGATCCAACCCTTCCCTGGGCCACGCTTGCAGATAGGAGGCGCGAGGAACTGCGCCAGGCCCCACCCAGCCCAAATGGGAGGAGCAGGGCGGCCAAAGCCTGGATCCGCCCAGCGCTGCTCTCGCCGTGCCCACAGCCCAGGGCAGCAGGGGTGGTGCTTGAAGGACCTGGTGCCCAGGAGGCCGGGAAGCGCAGGAAGGGCTCCGCCCACGACGCAAGTGTTGCCCTAGCAGCGGGAGGGACCCGTGGGGTGAGAGGCTGCCTTGCCGCAGGGAGAGCCACCTTGGTCCCCTGGGAGCAGGAAGATGTCCCGAGGCCTGTTCTGTGGTGCGAGGCCAGGTTTGGGTGAATCCTCGGAGGGGTGCAGCTGGAGCCCTCGGGCGTGCGGCTGCTTACATCCGCAGGAGCTGGTCGAGGTCAGCGCATGGGCAGCCTGAGTCCTCGCTGCGACCACAGACCTCTGGTCCAGCTTAGGGCGTGCCCGCTTGACAATGGATGCCGTCGTCTCTGGCCAACTTGGTTCAGGGACTTGATTCCATGAATCTGGTTGCAAGGGTGATTTGGACGAGAGCTGCATCAAATTTAGGGGTGAGGCTTGTGGTGGAGCCCGTGGGCAAGCTGGCTGTAGTTCTCACCTGTTCCGGTTGTGACCAGAGTCGTGGAGAAGACCGAGCGTGTCGAACAAGACGCGCCATTCAGAGTGGCAGGGCGGTGCTCACACCCCCGTCCTTCTGGCCAGTATCTGGATTGCCTGGGAGGGGCCGTAAATTGTCGCGTGCGGCCTTGCCAGCAAGGAAGACGTGACCACTGGTTGTGTCTGCGCAGCTTTTATTGCCCTGTTACATC